GAGCTCAAGTATAGCAGGGATTGTGGGGCTGGCGCGGGATCGGGCAGTGTTTCGTTCTGCTGTGCATGGGGTCGCTATGAGTCAGAAACGATTCGATGGCACTTAACAACAACAACAACAACATCACTACGGAAGTAGATTGCCCTATCTTCTTTCCAAGATGTGGCTGGTGGGTTTGAACCGCCAGCCTTCTGGTTAGCAGTCAAGTGCCTTAGCCATTATGCTACCAAAGCTCCCAAAATTATGAGATATTGTATACTAAATACTAGTGTTGTTGTTGTTGTTAAATAGTGTTAGTCACTTCTGCCTCACAGCAACGCTTTGGACAACAGAACAAAACATTGCCTGATCCTCCGCTACCCTCACAGTCATTGCTATGTTTGAGCCCATTGTTGCAGCTGCTGTGTCAGTTCATCTTGTTGTGAGTCTTCCTCTTTTTCACTGACCCTCTGCTTTACCACACATGCTTCCCTGCTCCCGGGGCTGGGTCCCTCCTAATAACGTGCTCAAAGTACTTGAGATGAGGTCTGACCATCCTCGTATCTAACGAGTATTCTGGCTGTACTTCTTCCTAGACAGACATGTTCATTCCTCTGGAAATCCATGGTATATTTAATATTCTTAGCCGACACCATATTTCAAAGACATCAATTCTTCTTTGGTCTTTCTTATTCATTGTCCAGCTTTTGCATATGAGGTGATTGAAAATATCATGACTTAGGTCGGGCGTATCTTAATCTTTAAAGGTTTCAAAGGTTCTTCTTCCTACTCTGTCTTCATCTGGAAGCTCTGCTGAAACCTCTCCACCACAGGTGACACTGCTGATATTCAAAATATTAGTGACATAGCTTCCAGTATCACAGTAACACATAAACCACCACAGTACAACACACTGACAGATGAGCGGTAGAAAATGCTAATATTAAATAATAAATACTAAAATGCCACAGAGAAAAAGATTTTTTTTTTAAATTGAGATATTTTAATTTAGCCTACTTTTAGAACTATAAACAAGTATTTAACCAAAGGCAATGTTTGGTTTGATACTCATATTTATCAGAACCAGAAGAATAAACAAATCTGTCTTGGCAAAAAATACAGCCTTAATGCTCTTTAAAATGGCCAGACTTCATCTCTCTATTTTGGTCATATCAGAAGGGACCAGTCCCTCGAGAAGCATGTCCTATTTGGTAAAGTAAAGGATCAGCAAAAATGGGAAAGATCCTCAACAGATAGATTGACATTGGGTGTAACAATGGGCTCAAGTATAGCAATGATTGTGAGGATAGCACAGGACTGGGCAGTGTTTTGTTCTATTGTACACAGGGTTACTGAGTCAGAACCTACTCAATGGCACCTAACAAGACAACAACATATTTATTATATTCTATCCCAGTAAAAGCCACAAAGAATTAATTTGAAGGGAACAGCACTTCTGATAAATTTTAACAATCAAATCAACAACAAAAAAAAAAAAATTGCATTTAAATGAAGGAGATCTCTCACAAACTCATGCAATTGAGGAGAATAAAAGCTGGCTTTTGCTCAGAGAAAATAATGTGATGATTTTCAGAATCTCATTTCCCTTTGCAGTTAAGTCATTCACTACTGCTGTGGTCAGTGTGTGAATCAGAACAACTGAAAATGTGATATAATATCAGTCAGCAACGATTACACACAAGTAACTGTTTTCCATTTTATACAGGGTATAAAACATTTTATTTTCTGGAAACTGAAACACGGGTTACAGCAAATTAGAAGAAAAGTAATATACCTTCATTTCAGCATAAATATTTGGCCACCTTATGTATAAGCCACAATGCCATGGGAATTTTGTCACTAGCATGCCCATAGTGAAATACTCTTTTTGGTTTAGTTTGTTCTTATTGTTAAAGAGAATTAAATTATTTATAGGACTCACACACAGAAAATTTATTTTGTTTTAATTGTGTGTGTGTGTCTGAAAGAGTATGTGGTATTTAGATAGGACATGAAATTTGTACATGTTTAAATAATTGTATCTGAAAACATTGTATTTATCTATTTTAAGGCAATGGGCACCACTTCCTGTATGTCAACTCATCTGACCCCAAAGGACACACTGCAAGGATCATCACTTCCAAATACTTCCCAGCAAGCCTTGGAATATGTACTGTCCGGTTCTGGTTCTACATGCTTGATCCCAACAGTATGGGGATATTGAAGGTACAAAAAGAAGACAGAGATTAGTGTTCACTGAAATATTCATAACATGTTGAAGCATTGTTTTCCTTTTCTTCTACTACCTTTTTTCCTTTTTTCCTTTTTTTTGATTGTCACAACACCAGTGCTGACTCCATTAATTTCTCATTTCTTTATGGGATAATAGGACTTTGACAAGCAGTGCTGTCATTTGTCTTAACCTCATTCAACTTTCATCTCATTGATGGCTCCTACCTGAACTCCATTATACTGCATAAAATTTAAAAGATTATCTGAAAAGAAAAGAGTGTGGGCAGATTCTATATATTCTTTTTGAAAGTACAGGAACACTGAAGAAGTATGATATGAGGGATAATGAAGAACATTTTATATCCAGAGCCTAGTAAAGGCAAAGTACACTTAAGATTTTTAGTGTGTATCAGCTCACACTAAAACAGCATGCGTAGTGCTTAAGGCATTTGACTGCTAACCAGAAGGATGGTGGTTCAAACCCACAAGCCACTCCTCCAAAGGAAGGTTGGGCAATCTACTTCCATAGTGATGCTGCCTCAGAAACCCAAGAAGGGGTTTCTATGAGTCAGATCTGACTTGACAGCAGTGTATTGCATTGTTTGTGCCTATTTTTTACCTAATTAAAAAAAGAATATGCATCAAATTCAGATGTGTTTAATGAAACAAGTTGCTACAATTATACTTCTAATTCTATAAATGATGAAGAAGTTTTCAATTTTCATGCATCAGTTTTGAAATCTTGCTTTTTAATTAAGTGTTGTGTTCTGATATATAATCTTTTAATTATATAATCACTTGTTTGAATAAATGCTACTGGTATTTTTCTCTTTACCTCAAACACTGGCCCTTGTTAATAATAACAGCTATCCTTAAATGCGTACTTTCTTTCTGCATATAATACCTTACCAGGTCCACCATATTGTAAACTTTTTCTTTTAATTTTATTGAAATATAATTTATGTATAGTGGATACACAAAACTAAAGTGACATGGGTCAGTGCATTTTTTTTTCCAGTGTTGCCTCCCCTCCCCTCCTCTCCCACCTCTGGTGACCAACATATTAATTATTGATTGTTAATATTATTAATTAATTAATTTTTGCAGTGTTCCCTTCTTTCCCCACACACCCTTGCTAACCAGCAAAGAAAGCTTTCTTCCATATATAAACCTTTCCTTGACTTTTTACAATAATGAACTAATACAATTTTGTCTGTCTGTGATTGACTTACTTCACTCAGCGTAATGTCATCCAAGTTCATCCATGTTATTTTGGTGTCTGGCTGACTTTACATTATTCTTTAGTGTTGCATAGTATTCCATTGTGTGTATGTACCATAGTTTGGTTATCCATTCTTCTGTTGATGCCCAACTAGGTTCTTTCCATATTTTTGCTATTGTAAATAATGCTGTGGTGAACATGAGTGTGCATATACCTATTCTTGTCCTGGATCTCACTTCTTTAGGATATATACCTAGTAATGGGATTGCTGGGTCAAATGGTACTTCTAATTCCAGCTTTTTAAGGAAACACCATACTTCTTTCCACAGTGGTTGTATCATTTGACAGTCCCACCAGCAGTGTATGATAGTTCCAATCTCTCCACATCCTTGCCAGCATTTGTTATTTTCTGTCTTGTTGAATTTTACCATTAGTGCTAGGGTGAGATGGTAACTCATTGTTGTTTTGATTTGCATCTCTCTGATGGCTAACGATTGTGTGCATTTCTTCATGTATTTGCTGGTGACCTGAATATCCTCTCTGGTGTCTATTGATGTCTTCTCCCCATTTTTTAATTGGATTGTTGATCTTTTTGTTCTGGTGGTGTTGAAGTTTTCTATAAATTCTAGAGATAAGTAGTCCCTTGTCAGATATGTCATTGGCAAATATTTCTTTCCAATCTGTAGGTTCTCTTTTGACTCTTTTGGAGAACTCTTTTGAAACACATAAAAATTTAATTTTTATAAGGTCCCATTCATCTAGTTGATCTTCTGCTGTTTGTACACTTTGGTTTATGCTTGATAGTCTATTTATGTCATATATTCCCTAGTTTATCCTTGAGAAATTTTATAGTTTTAGGTTTTACATTTAAGTCTTTGATCCATCTGGAGTTTTGTGAATGGTGTGATGTGCACATCGTTTCATTTTTCTGCAAATGGATATCCAGTTTTGCCAGCACCATTAGTTAAAAAGACTACCTCTTGCCCATTTAATGGGTTTCAGCCATTTGTCAAAAATCAGATGACCATAGGTTGTTGGATCTATTTCTGGGTTCTCAATTCTGTTCCACTGTTCTATTTATCTGTCATTATACTAGTACCAGGCTGTTTTGACTACTTTGGCTGCATAGTAACTTTTGAGATCTGGGAATGTGAGACCTGCTACTTTGTTTTTCTTCCTCAAGAGTGCTTTGCTTATCCAAGGTTTCTTTCCTTTCCATATAAAGTTAGTGATTGTTTTTTCTATAACCTTAAAAAATGCTGATGGGATCTGGATTGGGATTGCATTGAATGTATAGATTGCTTTGAGTAATACTGACATTTTCATAATGTTCAATCTTCCTATCTACCAGCATGGTATGTTTTTCCATTGATGTAGATCTCTTATGGTTTCTTGGAGTAGTGATTTGTAGTTATCTTTGTATAGGTCTTTTGTGTCCCTACTGAGATTTATTCTCAAGTTTTTTGTTTGTTTGTTTGTTTGTTTTGTTTTTTGATAGCTATTGTAAATGGTATTTACTTTCTTATTTCCCTTTCAGCAATCTCTTTGCTGGTGTAGAGGAATCCAACTGATTTTTGGATGTTGATTTTGTATCCTGCCACAATGCTAAATCTCTCCATTAGTTTCAGTAGTTTTTTGACGGAGTCTCTTAGGTTTTCTAGGTATAGGCTCATATCACTAGAAAATAGGGATAGTTTGATTTCTTCCTTACTAATTTGGATACCATTGATTTCCCTTTCTTGCCTTAGTGCCATAGCAAGGACTTCCAATATGTTGAATAGAAGTGGTGATAGAGGACATCCTTGTCTGGTTCCTTTTGCAAGGGGAATTATTTCAGTCTCTCTCCTTTGAGAATAATGTTGGCTGTTGGTTTTGCATAGATGCCCTTTATGATGTTGAGGAATGTCCCTTCTATTCCTATTTTCCTGTGAGTTTTGATCAGGAATCATTGTTGGATTTTATCAAATGCCTTTTCTGCATCGATTGGTATGATCATGTGGTTCTTGTCTTTTGTTTTATTTATGTGATGGATGTCATTGATTGTTTTTGTAATGTTGAACCATGCTTGCATAACTGGTATGAACCCCACTTGGTCATAATCCATTATTTTTTTAAAATGTTGTTTGAGTCTATTGGCTAGGATTTTGCTGAAGATTTTTGCAACTATATTCATGAGGGATATTAGTCTGTAGTTTTCCTTTTTAGTGATGTCTGTGCCTGATTTTGGTATCAAGGTTATACTTGCTTCATAAAATGAATTTGGGAGGATTCCATCCTTTTATATGCTCTGGAATACTTTGAGTAGGATTGGTATCATTTCCTCTCTGAATGTTGAGTAGAATTCGCCAGTGAAACTGTCTGGGCCAGGGTTCTTTTTGGTTGGTAGTTTTTTGTGACTTGTTCAATTTTTTCTTTTTTAATGGGTCTATTCCACTTATCCACCTCAGTCTGTGTTAGTTTAGGTGAGTAATGTGTTTCTAGAAATCTGTTCATTTCTTCTAGATTTTCAAATTTGTTGGAGTATACTTCTTCATAGTATCCTAATATTATCCTTTTTGTTTCAGTTGGTTGTGTTGTGATGTCACTCAATTCATTTCTTATTCATGTTATTTGTATTCTCTCCCTCTTTTCTTTTGTTAAATTTGTTAGTGGTCAGTTTTATTAATCTTTTCAAAAAACCAACTTCTAGTCTTGTTGATTTTTTCTATTGTCTTTCTATTTTCTGTTTCATTGATTTCTGCTCGAATCTTGATTATCTCCTTTCTTCTGGTGACTGTAGACTTTTCTTGCTGTTCTTTTTGTAATTGTTGGAGATATTGGTTTAAGGTATTGATTTTGTCTCTTTCTTCTTTTCTGATGTGTACATTTATTGCTATAAATTACCCTCTGTTCACTGCTTTTACTCTGTCCCAAAGATTTTGGTATGTTGTGTTTTCATTCTCATTTGATTCAAGGAATTTTTTTTTTATTTAATTTTTTATTTCTTCTATTACCCAGTCATTCTTAAGGAGGATGTTGTTCAGTTTCCATGTGTTTACTCTTTTTCCATTGATCCTCCTATTGATTTCTAATTTGATAGCATTATGATCTGAGAAAATGCTTTGTAGTATTCCCATGTTTTAAAATTTATTAAGGTTTGCTTTATGGCCCAACCTGTGGGCTATCATGGAGAATATTCCCTGTGCACTTGAAAAGAATGTATATTGTGCTGCATTGGGTGAACTGCTCTGTAGATGTCTATAAGGTCAAGTTGGTGAATTGTATTGTTTAGCTTTTCTGTGTCTTTGTTCAGTTTCTTTCCAGTTGTTCTATCTTTCATTGAAAGTGCTGTTTTAAAGTCTTCTACTATGACTATGGAATCATTTATTTGTCTTTTCAGTTCTGGTAAAGTCAGATTTGTGTATTTTGGGGCTCTTTCATTGAATCCATAGATGTTTATTATGGTTATATCTTCTTCTTGGATTGATCCTTTAAACATATAATGTCCTTCTTTTCTCTTATGATGATTTTTGTCTTAAACTCAATTTTATCAGAAATTAACATTGCCACTCCTGCTCTTTTTTGGTTGCCATTTGCTTGATATATCTTTTTCCAACCTTTCATTTTTAGTCTATTTTTGTCTTTGTCTCTATGGTGTGTCTCTTGTAGACAGCTTATTGATGGGTTATGTTTTCTTATCCATCCTGCAATTCTCTGTCTTTTGAGTGGTGCATTTAATCCATTGACATTCAGTGTAATTTCAACAAGTATGAATTTGTTGCTGTCATTTTCT